AGAGCGGTCCATGAGGCGTCTATGCTTATATTATGTCTATGGTGTGCACGTCCGGAGTTCTGCTAGACGTAACGTATGCACTTGGACCCCTCTCCGTTTGGTCTGGCGCAGTGAGGAAGAGACATTTCCTAATAAGGAAAGGGTGTGCTTTCGGATACACTTCCGGGTAGGTGGAGAGTTTGATGAAAAGTCTTGCTTTGGAAATACTTCTAAACATTTTTTAAACGGTGAGCCTCATTGCTCCTGTTATTTACCACAGATTTTCCTGGCTTCTTCTCCTGCTTTCATCCTGTGCGGTAATGTCTGTATGCGTTTCGCCTCCATCTTTTCAGAACGATGTCAAAATCTTTGAAGAAGATCGTGGAGGAAAGTCGGGACAGGAGCCTTCCTGAGGTAGAAATGTGCGACAGGGGGATCTCGAACATGCTGGACATACCAGGCCTGTGTAAGCTAAAAACTCTTCTTCATTTGTAAAACTGGAGCAAGAAGGCTGAAAAGTTGAGATCCGTGTTTGTGGATCTGGGGGGTGGGAGAGGGAAATTGTTCCCTGCTCTGCTCTGGTGCAGGACTCCAGATTTCTTCCTATAAAACTCATGCTGTCATAAATGTTGAACTCTGTGGTGTGTAAAGTAGTCTGTAAAAATGTTGAACCTTCTTTTTCAGCTTTTGTTTTTAGGCAAGATTTGATCACAACATCCCAGAGTCTTCCAGAATAGTTCCCATAGGATACCATCTGAGTAAAAGACGGGATTGAACTCTGTCATGCTGTGGCAAGAATTGTGTGCTTTCAAACTGTCACTGATGCAGGCAAGAAAAACAAACAAACAAACAAACAAACAAAACAGCATCAGTTGAATGCAGAGCAGGGCAACTTTATGACCCTCAGTTTCTTTTCAAGGTCACAAATAGTCAACAAATCTGAGAGACTGTCTCTTGGGAGTGTTTTGAACTTGAAAATGTGGCACTGGACAATTGGACAGAAAAAAGAATTAAAATGGGACAACTACTACTTTCTGTGCTCTTTATTACACTTACGATAAACTTTTTAGAAAAATCATGCATAATGCACATGATTTAAAACCTGTCACATGCAGGAGCCCATCTAATTAGCTCAAGTGGAGTCATGATAATGGTTGACACAAAATATATTTTTAAGCAGTTTAGATTGCAATTAAGGACTCTGAATTATCTGCTATAGCGTTTCCAGAAAGATCAATCTAATTGACTGATGTTTTTCTCTGCTCTCTTAAAGCTGTTTTTTTCTAAGCTGCATTCTTAGAAAAGAAATTCTTGATATGTTTGAAGTTGAGCTTTGTGTTCTCTGTTTTGCATTGATAAACTACCTCATGGTAGCAGCAAGTTGGAATAACTCTGTTATGTCACTACCATTTTTTTATTCCTTTCCCAATTAAGTTGGACGTTCACAACAAATGTCTTAAGGCACTCAAGAAAAAAAATAATTTTAGTTCAGTCATGCATACTGAAAATAGTTTAAAAAGTTTCTATCTAACAAGAACCAACAGACTGCACTTAGCCATTGACTTGCAGCATCCACTGCTCCTGGATGAGGACATGGCAACAATTGCTTGTGTTGTGTCGTTGACTTACAACAATCCTTCTTGCCAAGCATTCAGAGTAAGAGGGATTACTCTGAGGAAGAGCAGCGGCTCTTCTCAGAGTAGAGCTGCTGCTCCTTCACGTCAAGAGGAGCCAGTAGAGGTGGCTCAAGTATCTAGTCAGGATGCCTCCCTCTTGAGGTGTTCCAGGCACGTCCCACCAGGAGGAGTCCCAAAGGAAGACCCAGGAAATGCTGGAGGGACTATGTTTCCCGTCTGGCCTGGGAATGCCATGGGATTCCCCTGGAGGAGCTGGAACAAATGGCTGGGGAGAGGGAAGTCTAGGCCTCCTTACTTTGGCTGCTACCCCTGTGACCCGACTCCGGATAAGGGAAGAAAATGGACAGATGGATAAAGAGAATTGGTCCAATAACGGAGCTCTGTGATACTCCACATAAAAAACACCATGAAATACACCACACCCTAGAGTGTGAAATTATGTTCCCATAAGCAAACTGGAATCTGTTGGACAGATAGGATTTAAACCAGCCTAGTGCTTTTCTCTTGATACCTACATGTTCAAACAGTTCTAAGAAAATATTGTGGTCAACTGTGTTAAAATCAGCACAGAGGTCTAGTAAAACCAGAACAGACACAAGTCCATTATTTGAGAATACTCTTTGTAAGTTTGAGCAGTGCTGAATCAGAATTCATAAGTTTTATGAATTCTAAAACTATTCTATAAAACTATTTGTGCATTTTTGACTTTTTTTCTTGTCTGTCATTTCAGTCACTCTGTCTCACATCACTCAGTTGGTCCTCAGTCACAACAAGCTCACAGGTAAGATGGTCCCTTCACCTTACAATTGATACATTAAACTGCAGTATTTAAATAAGCAGTTGTTGCTAGAATGAAGAAAACATATAAACGGCTTTAAAGAATTGCTGCCATTACAACAGTAACAAAGTAAAGATGTGCTGCTTACTTTGTGCACATTTTTGGTATTATTCTTAGATCGGTTAACATCTAAAATGATTACACACTGTTACAATTCTTGCTTATCACATAATAAATCCATCAACTTAACTAAAAAATACCCAGTAATTACATTTTTTTCACACATTCACTAACAGAACAGTCAGAGCAACTAGTGAAACACAGCCAGCTCTACACCCGTATAGACACACTGTGGCTAAAACAATAGCTTTGATACCACAGAGCTCTGTATCTTGTTTACATATCCTAAATAGAAAGATGTTTAGAACTTTTGGATCATATCACATTAGGCATTACCTGTTTTAGGTCAGTTTGGATTACCAGAAATATTGGTTTTTGCTAAATGTCATAATGAGAAGAAATGTTTAAGAGATTTCTTTTGTTTTCTTTAGTACTGCTTAAAATTTAGAAGTTTACATAGATTCAACTATACCTGTCAACTTTCAGGAAGGTATGGGTTTGCACTGATAAACTGACCAAAATTTTCTTTGGTAATTGGACGATAAATACATAAAAACAATCCCATCCACCAATCTTATCCAACTCTGCAAATGTCTGAAAATCAGCCACTGTTTCTTTTTGCTTGCCCTGAGAGAGGACTGACTGACTCGCCCATCAGTTCACATGTGCAGTTAACTGTAGTCCCTCTGCTAATGCCAAGTAAGTGACTTTGTTGCTACATTTGGCATCAATTCAAACAAAATATTGGTATTGGCCAGAATTAGCAGAATTATCTGTGATTGCCTAGAAAGTTGAAACTGTTGTTGCCCTTTTCTGGGTGATGATGATTCACAATATTTGGATTACATACTGGTGGCACACAGTTTTTGTGTGAAGCACTAACTTTTCACTAAGTAAGGTACAAATATTCATGCACATCCTGACATTTGTGACCAAAACTATTGGGGAATTTTAATGCCATAATTTAAGAGCCCACATCTTTAGTCTCACCACAGGACTTCATGTCTTTGTTATCAAAACTTGTGAAAATGTGTGCTCTCAACTTATGGCAGTAAAATTCCCCCATACAAAACATACTTCAGATTTTCAGAGCTTGATTACAACAATTAAGTAATTACTGGCCTAGTTTTCGCAAGTGCAAAATGCCCCTGATACAACTATGCAAAGAAGGATACATAGATACAATGACAAAAAATATGGCTGGTTAAATATTTGGAATATAAAATAATGATGATATTAATAATGGTAGATGAGATGATAAATATCCTTCAGCAATATAAATTTTGAGCAACAGGACTACCTAATAAACCCATCACATTATGGCACGGCACCGTTATTTCTGGTTCCCCTAGATCTATAGCTGGACAATAAATCATTAATGTATATCGCAATAGACATTTGAGCAGTGTAAACAGATAACACGTCTCATTTGCGCTCGTGACTTTTGGCATAATAATGCCGCCATACGTGGGATCGGTCAAGCTGTTCTCTGCTCCAACTGAAGCCAAATGAGTAACTTCAGACTAGCTGAAATGACTACGGTGTGTAATTTACCAGAACACTGATGAATAGGGTTGTGATCCTCCCTGCCAAATTGTGAGGAAGGATTCACAGTTACTTAACTAACTTCTTCATCGTTTGTATACATACATTTCCCTCAGCTTTCAGATCCTACATTTTGAAACTTTGAAACATGCACAAAATGTTATGAGTGGCCAATTTTAATCCAAGCAGTTGCTGGAGCTACTCTTGTTGTTTTGGAGGGTTACCTACCTAATGTTTTGTTATGGGGTTTTTATTTAAAAGATTCTGAGTTGAGCCGAGTGTTATTTTTACACCTATGTTCATTGTTTTACCACAGTTAAAATCAGTGAAAGAACACAACCATGAGTTCTTGGAATTGAAATCGTCCTTATTCTTCCCCAAACTATCTATTTTTATTGAAAACTAAAACATAAACTCGTACAATAAACATTCTTCAGTGAAATCATGTCCCTAGTGTAATGCATAAAGCCTGCACTTCAGTGGGCAGCATCAATTCCCATCGAGGATAACAGCATCCAATGGTTAAATCTAGACAAGAAACATCTTAAGAAAAAAAAGATGGAAATTAACTGCCAAAAATTTGAGAAGAATCAAACATGAAGCTACCAGGAACCCGTTATCTTCTAGTACTGTCATATTCCAGAACTGCAACCTACCTAGAGTTCCAGAAGTACAAGATGCTCAGAGCTCAAAGGCATGATCAAGGTAAGGAAGGCTGAAACTTGACCACCACTGAACAAGACACATTGCTGAAACGTCAAAACTGGACCAAGACAGATTTGAAGACAGATTTTTCAAAGCTTTATGGACAGATGAGATGAGAGTGACTCTTGATTGACCAAATGGATGGACCCGTGGCTCGCTCAGTAATGGGGACAGAGCTCCACTTCACATCAGACGCCAGCAAGGTGAAGGCGGGGTACTGGTATGGGCTGGTATTATTAAAGATGAACTCCCAAACCTACTGCCAGTTTTTAGAAGACACTTTCTTCAAGCAGTGATACAAGAAAAAGTCTGCATCTTTCAAGAAGATCATGATTTTTATGCAGGACAATGCTCCATCACATGCATCACAGTACTCCACTATGTGTCTGGCCAGTAAAGGCCTTAAAGATGAAAGAACAATGAAGTGGTCTCCTTCCTCACCAGACCTAAACCCCATTGAGAACTTGTGGGCCCTTCTTAAACAGTTCACATCTCTGAACAGTGTCTGGGAGGCTGTGGTTGCTGATGCACAAAAAGTTGATCAAGAAACTGACAGACTCCACGAGTCTGTCAGTTTATATAACTGTTACTGAAAAGAATGTAAAGGTGAAGGTAATTTTATTTACATAGCACATTTTCAGCAACAAGGCAATACAAAGTGCTTTACATGAATTAAAAGGAAATACAAACAAAATAACAAATCAAAAGAAAGAGAAAAAGAATCTAATGTTGATCTAAAGTATGTAAACTAGATACTCATGTTCAGGGTAGCTAGATAATATACGTACGTATCCTCTGGTCTAATTCCTTTACTGGTTTGGAGGAATAGGAGTCTAAAAAGTAGTTGCTAAGGTAGTGATAGAAGGGTGGCTATATTGGTCACTGATTTAATTTTTAAATGTCAGAAATGTTTTTTTTGTCAATTTTGAGTTGTATATTTATTATTTTCACTTTAACAGATGACAAACAAGTGAGATGGGAAAAGATTTAATTTGAATTCAGTTATATATTAATCCTGCACGCATTGATACTGTGCTAAAAAAGCTAAAATCTCACTTTTACTTTCTTAAATATTCAGGTTTGAGAGGTTATTAATATTTGGATTGACTAAGAGTGCTGTAGATGTTCAACAATAAAATTAATCCTCAAAACTACAAATTGAGTAATAATTGTGCACACAGTGTATGTTCTCCTTTTTTCTGTACAATGTAACAAAATGTAGATTCTTACCATGCACTGTGAAAATGAATACAAGTAAATATTTACAAAAAAGGTTCCAAACATGTATGAAAGGATCAAAGCAACACTCCAGCTGTCTTTTTGATGGGCAAATAAAATTGAATACAAACCTGAAAAAAGTTGATATTACATAATACCACTGCCCTCACCTTAAAGACATCTGACAAATAAGTCAGGTTGTAAGAAATTTTCAAAGGCTTTAAGTTGTCTAAAGTATGAAGGAACTGCGGTTAGGTGGTGTTAAGTAAGGCCTTTGGATGCTTTTCTAAGGTTTTGTTGCAAACCAAGCATGATGAGTAGCTTACACAGGCTGTCTCTAAGTATTTGTTTACTGAATCCATTAACTTTTTCTAGTTTAGTCCTACAATACTAATAGTTGGTCATAATAAACGTCTCTAAAATTTGTTTTGCTCCTGGTTTCCAGGTGCTGCTGATCAGAGATCAGCTGACCAGGAAAGTGAATCGTTCACAAGCGCCATTAGTTATTTCAAACAGTGTTTAAAAAACTAAGGTGGTGTTGTTAGATCATCTGTCTTCAGAAATACTGGGCTAAATAATATTTCTGTGGTTAAATTGATCATCTTCACAAAAACTGTCAGCATAAAACTAAAGCAGAATCAAACAATAACTGGATAAAACATTTAGAATCACATTCCGGTTCTTTCCTGAAACAGTTGAGAACTGGGTCTAGCAGCAGTCCTGCCTGGAGCCTCTTTGGTGGAAAACCTCTATTGAAATTCCTTAGGTTGGCACTCCTAAGATTACCTCTAGATGTGTGTTATTGTACACAAATGTTTTTAAAGCATATTAATTTCACAGATTCACGTCTGTACTGCTGCAGCGATATAAAGTTCTGAAAGTACTTTAATTGGGGTCTATAAAATTTCTCTTCCAGCTGTGCCTCCTAACATCTCAGAACTGAAGAATCTGGAAGTTCTGAACTTGTTCAACAACCAGATTGAAGAGCTCCCGACTCAGATCAGCAGTCTTCAGAAGCTGAAACACCTCAATCTTGGGTATGTGACATTTTAGGGTTTTCATGTTTGAGGCGTTTCATCAGGACTGCATTTTCCTTAATGATGCAATTTGTGGTTAAAACTAGGACAATTTCATGTGTAGTAACATGTAAAACATGTGCTTCATAAAAAAACCCAGCAACCTGGATTTTTATGGTGTGGTAGGTTAGTACAAAGATGAGCATTAAAAAAAATCCCCTATTTAGTTGACAAATTTAAACAAACATTGATATGTCGACAATCTGTCAATGCTTCCCCCCTCCTAAAAAAAACAGTCTTTATCTCGTATAATATAACATCTCATTCCACATAGCAGAATATTTCTTACTGATGGTATTACAAATACTAATGACAGCATAAGAATATTAAAATACAATTATCAAAGACAACAATACTATTGCTGCTGTAAAATCGCAAGAGTTATTGTGGCAGAGACCAGGAGTATGATTTGATAGAGAATTCAAGTTTTATTGTCTCTACTACAGTTTTTTACTCTTCCCGCCCACAAAAAAAGAAAGGTGGGTGATTTTATTTGATTGAACAAAATATCAACAACTACTGTATTTTCACTTCAAAGCAGTAAAGAATATTTAATGAAATATCCTTTTGTTAAATTGTCTGTGCCTTGCATCCAAGCACCTGGACCTGCTGACCAGCTGACGGCGTCCATCAGTCCTCAGTCTGCCAGATAATTACAGCATGGACTAACTTTTTATTTACAGTACTTGGCTAAATTAGGATCTGGAAACCAGAAGACCAAATATGCAAAAATCTACCTGCAGATTTTAATGGCTTCCCTGACACTGCAGTCATCCTGAACTGGTCTTCCTTTCATCCAGAGTTACGAGTTTTCATCACCAGTAAAGGCAAAGAAGTCAGATGTCTGAGTACACTGCTAGGAAGTGTATTAATAATCACTGTTCATTTTGTTATACTGTTTGTACTTACAATAAAATTGAATCTCTTTAATAATAATCTGCATTTTACAAACCTGTTCTCCCTTATCTCAGTGTTTATGTTACATGAAGTATTTGCATATGGACCTGGCCTTCAAGTAAGATATTAAAATACAACACTTTCAAGTAATTCCAGTAAAGAAATATGAATATTAAGTAATATGCAGTTAGTCATAAAATTCAATATACTGAATGTATACTTAGTTGACAGCTCCTGTTCTCAAACCGAAAACCCTGAGTAGGTGTACTCAGAGTAACTGTCTTCTACTCCGAATTTGTCTATCTCACTTTCTGAAACAGGACTTTAGAGTTTATGATTTTGAACTTCACAATATGCTAGTTTTCTGACATGTTAATGAATGAATCAGTGAATGTTTTGCTTTAAATTGAAATTCTAGACAAGTGGGAAACTGGCTGTGTTTCTGTGAACACAGGATGAATCGTCTCAGTGGCTTGCCCAGAGGATTTGGATCTCTTCCTGCTCTCGAGGTGTTGGACTTAACCTACAACAACTTGAACCAGAACTCTGGTTCTCTGCCTGGAAACTTCTTCTATCTAAGTGAGCATTTGGCAAACAACACTGAACACACCATGTTTATTTGTGAGTAAGGTGCCTGCAGGTTACAGGCTACAGAGGGACATGCCATTGTTTCAGTAAAGACATGGCTCACATGTACACACTCACATGAACATGAAACCGGTATTTTGTTTTCAAAATTGATTGTTTCTGGTCTCCCAAAATGCCAGATCTGTGTGGACACACAGCCTAGACAAAAAACCTTTTTGGATGCACCTAATGTCATGGATGTGTGGACTGGGTCTTAGGCTATGTTCACACAGGAGGCAAATGCCACCCAAATCTGTTTTTTTATTGACTTACTTTTTGCCTATATGCAACCTTTCTTATGGCAGTTTGAATGAGCAAATTCTGATCTTTTCAGGCATCCAGCCTTAATTAATTGCGTTAACAGTTTGTTGCTGTTTGACGTCTACATTTTTCAAGCAGGTTGGTTTGGGGTCATAAATCATTTGCAAAGACAACTACAAAGTATGAACAACTACAAAACAAATGCAAAAAACAATCAGATTTCAGCAAAAAATCGGAATTAAGCATCAAGAGCTGCTTTGTGAACATAGCCTTTGTCTGCTTCGACATGACTGAGTGATGTCTGTACCATAGAGGTTCAGTCAGAGTATACGTAAATACTTCTCTGATATAAAGCATATGATCCAGTAAGACATAATTGGTCTAAATAGATACTTCATTGTTGCACTTCTTTATCAGTTTAGATTGTCTGGGTTAGGCAATTGTAAGAGAAGTAATTATGGTGGCGACATCCCAGGAAGGGAACGTAAAACATGGACACAAAATGCACTTTATGTGGTTCTGTTTTGAAATGCAACCAATCAGCATCATTCTGTCGGCTGAACAGCATCAACTTCTCAGCCAAAAATGACTGATGTGAGGTGATGAAAGAAAAGTGCAAGGCATGATGGGAAAAAACATTATGCCATTAAGCACAGCTGATGGTGAGGGCCTTTGTGAGTATTTGTCTTCATGGAGCCAAGTTTTAACATTCTTCAGCAGACGGCTAAGTCTGCAGACCTCTTCACAGACAGGACTTCTGTATGAACATCTGTTACGTTTTTCACAAATTTGATTCTTTTAATCTTTTATCTTCCTATTTAGCAACTTAAGAGATTCCATCGATGGATCCATCCATACATTATCTTATCTCTAGAAGAGTTGTGAGGGTTGTTTGTTCCTATCTCCAGCTGTTATCAATTAATCACTAGTCGATCGATAAGAGCAATCAACTTTACATTAATTCATTTATCAATCATTTCCAGCCCTACTTTGGATCTAAATTACCAAGTCTGGGCAGCCCCTGATTATCAGGAATATAATACATAGATAAAAAGCTCAGACTCTGTTAATGTTTATATATACCTGCCTGATGAGGGTTGATTTTAAAATAATGCATGAAGGCATAAGTCTAGCACTTAAAGACATCACAGGTCAGTACGAATTGTAAATGTTGAGAAACCAGGGTTCTTTATAAGAGCAGTATTTTATGTTTTCCAGGCACCATAGTGCCATTCGATAACACTATCAAGTAACTATTACCTTCAGTTGTTATAGAAATGCTATAAGTTTATCAGAATCAGAATCATGTTTATTGCCATTGCCAGTAAACATCACAAGCTATGTTATGTTATGAAATATGGTGTTTTTTGTTTTGTTTTCACTGCATGGATATTCTCAGCGGTCCAGCTGCACTAATCTGTCCCACGCAGACATCTTCTGTCCACACGATATGTGGAACATGCAGCAGTCAAAATAATCTGGGAACTTTTTCTGGGCGTTAGTCCCAGAGCATCCAGATGTAACAGTGATGCCATGATGATCCACTTATTATTAGTTTTTCTTTCTGCTCAAAATTGGCATTGCTGGATGATATTTGTCAATTATTTTACCATTATCATGATTATTATATTTTTAATCTTTCAAATATTTGACCAACCATGTTTTCTGTCATTGTATCTATGCTTCTTTCTTCTAGTTGTGTCAGATGCATTTTGCACATGGAAAAACGGCTCTAATAGGAGAACACCGGCCTTCACAGAGCAGAGACCAGTGAACATTATGACAATAATTCAGTATTTCATCATATCTAGTTGTAGTATTGTTTTATATACAGTAGATGGCAGCATATAATATATAATTCATTTATACTATTTCTTCACATGAAAATGCATGTAATTTGTTGTTATGCTGATACAGCTGTTATTTAAAAAACTGGCTAACGGGGGATTTTCATTCACAAAGTTTATTTTAAACTATTGAGAAAATACTCAACATTTCATTTAAAATTACAAGGAGCATTCCAGATTTTGTTGGAATGAGGCATCATGTTCATTTGGAATAAGTGTGAAAATTATATAATTGTATAAATAAGATATACAACCATCTTATTTCTGTTTTCTAGCCACTCTTAGAGCGCTGTATTTGAGCGACAACGACTTTGAATTACTTCCTCCTGACATTGGGAAGCTGACAAAGCTGCAAATCGTAAGTTCACCCCAGTAGCACCAACACAACTTGGACTGATGAGGTTTTTACTGTCGGGAACAAAATGAATGTAAATACACAAGTGTGATGAATAATCATTCATTAATCATTCACAGAAAGTGTTTTATATTTGTGAAGGTTGTGAGGCTAATCCAGGTTGCCTACAACGTGGATTAGCTGAAACACTGACAGAGCAAGATGCCAGGTTGTTTTGGTGGCAGATCTTTATCTGAACATTACAGTGACAGACCTTGCATTGCTTGGGGAACTTCTCATAATCTTAAGGATTCCTTTTATTCAATTCAGTTTGTTTTTATTGTGCCATTTTACAACAAATTTAGATTGAGGCACTTTGCAAAAAAATCATTTCAATTCAACCATACATACATTCCAGGTGATCCTAATTAGTGAAGTATGATCAGTTCATTATAATTAGCCTAAAATGTTTCTAAGGAAACTCAACACATTGCATTGAGTCATTGACTTGCAGCATCGCTCCTCCTGACGGAGCACGCCACAACAGCAGGACATTGATTGAATTCAGTGAATTTCCAACTGATACACCTACAAACAAGCAGAGAGGAAGCCGGTTTGGCAGAGACTGTATTGCTGTGACATTGCACTGCTGAAATGCCTACAACCTGGATTAGCTTTTTAAAATAGACTTTCATAACATGATAAACATCAACAAGCAAACATTTGAAATGTAAATATTAATTTTAAATGTTACTTATTTTTGTTCTTTTGGCTTTAAGCACTTTGTGGGTTGAATCACAGTGCTTTACTTAGTATTATTTTTGAGGTTTTCTTAGTATTATGTTTTTGCTGTTGGAGTGAAATTAATTTATGTAAACTTAAATAAGTGAAATGCCTTGACACACTGATGGATAAAGATAACTGCTTGGTCATTTGAGTGGAATATAGCTGCTAAACAATCTGTGTAGATGTTTCAATCCTTTTTCAAGTTGGTAAACTGCACAAATTAAAGGACAACTTGACAGTAACAAAGCAGACAACTGAGGGGAAAAGTGCTTGAATCTTCATATTCACGCCTTCCTGTTCACCTTGTCTGTGACTTTGCTGAATCAGATAAAGAACAGCTGCACCACCAGCCAAGATTTCAGTAAAATTGACTAATTGAAAATTGAAAAAATGCTCACTGGGGACAGTCTGATTTTTACAAGTTCCTCCCTAATTCAGTTCAATTTAGTTTGTTTAGTGAGGAGGCAAGGTGCAATGAATATCATTGAGGAGGGTGGGGCACCTACCCAATTTACCAATGGGGACACACTGACTTTATAGGGTTGATTTTTAAAAAGGTAATTTGTACAAATAAATCTGTTCATTACGTTGAGCCTGAAGTTGAGAAATATGTGACTGTCCGTCTGTGAATGTCTGATTTAAATTTATAGGAGCTAAAACATTTGAGAAATTGTGTGATGCTAACGTATTTTTATCCTTATCTTTTCTTTGTGTGCCCAGCTGAGTCTCCGAGATAATGATCTGGTCTCGTTACCGAGGGAGATTGGTGACTTGGCTCAACTCAAAGAGCTTCACATCCAGGGCAACAGACTGACTGTTCTGCCTCCTGAACTTGGTACTCAAAAACATTTAGCCACATGCACATCAATACCTCACCCTAGTGTTGGCAACACTACATAAAAAAGTATTTTAGCAACTGGGGATTTTCTTTGTTGATTTTTTCAATTTATCATCATAACATGGCAAACTATGCAGAAAGGCTTTACTCCACTTCTATGCATAATTTACTGTTATCCAAATTTCTTAGCATTTTTGCTGTTAAGTGCCAAAATCTTTTGAAGACACACTGGTTTCTAGTAAATATTGCAATGTGTTTGTTGTACTGGACGCATACATTGATCACTCTCTGTCAAGATATTTCATTCTTTCCTGCATACCTTCATGCTTACATGGTTTGAACAGAAGAAACCTTTTTTCTTTTTTTTTCTGTTACACCAACAAATTCAAGCTAACTACACTCTCTATACTAGATTCTAGATTTCTTATCATAACAGAACTGTGCTAGTAGAACGTTGCATTTAAAGTGCTCTAGACCACAGCCACATTCACCCAGACACACAGAATTACAACTTGTTGAAAAACTACCTAGATTAACAAAAACATCTCAGACTGCAATAGATCTTCTGTTCTCAAGTAAGACTGAAATAATTGCCAAGGCATTTAATTTTTTTGATTGGTTTGTCAAATCATAATAGCATTCTATTTTCAAGAAAGCTAATAGAACAGAGGTACACAAAGCTATACAGGGACTCTACTTTGTATGATGTCAAACCAAACTTTATATCTAAGAGCCACAGTAAAGTCCTGAAAATAGCAGACTGGGACAAAATGCTAACCTCCACAAATGTAGACGTCAATTGTGAGTTATCAATAAACTTAGAGGTGATGTCCTCCTTTGCCCGTAGGGGGAGACATTGACCTATAAAGAGGAACAAACCACCATGGTTAGATGAAAACTGAATAAACTTGTTAAAATCTCAAGACTCGTTCAAGTAATACTTAAAATCTAGCCTATCTATTGATTAAGATTTACTCAAGAATAAAATGGGGTTACACAGACCATAAGAAAAGCCAAAGCAAACTTTTTTTTTTAATCTTTATTATGGAGAATGTGAATGACAATGGGGAAAGAGTGGACCACTGGATGAAGGATGCAAAGATCTGTCAGCCCAGATCGCAAAATATGAGTGAATCAATGTTGAAACAATGTCAGGCTTCAACATGGATTCAGTGTTTCTGCCTGACAGTGAAACGATATTGAAAGTGGTCGGTGTTGAATCAACATTAGGGTTTCAACATAACTGGCACTATATCAATGTTGATTCAACCATCATCTGAATGTGGATCTACACATTTGTGTTTTTATATTGAATCAAAGTTAAGGAACAAATATTGATTCATGTACATGTTTTGGTCTGATAGTTCTACATCATAACATACCATTACAAGTTTCTTCACTGGTGTTAAACATGCAATTTTGTTGGTAGGCTATTATGTCGTTCAAAATTATCTTACATTGCCGTATTTCCAAAAATGTGTCTACACACAAACAAAATGGCATTAATATTACATTTTATTTATGAAAACAGGCATAGATCTCTAAACATATTTCACTCCTTTTTGACTGTCTGTTTTCCATGGAAGAACAGTGTCCATGAGATTAAGCCTTGTACTGTATGAACTTGTGGACTGAGTCCTGAGGAGCTTCTATCGCTGTGTGGTGGAGAGCGTTCTCTCCACCTGCATCACCGTGTGGCACAGCAGCTGCACTGCCGCTGAGAGGACGGCTCTGCAGTGGGTGGTTAAAGCTCCACAGAGGATTGTGGGGAGCAGCCTTTCCTCCACCTCGGACCTCTACACATCACGATGCAGGAGGAGGATGCTCCAAATCGTGAAGGACTCCACCCATCCTGCACACAGTCTGCTCCAGCTCCTTCCTTCAGGCAGAAGGCTGAGGAGCATCCAGAACAAGACCACCGGGCTGAGAAACGGTTTCTTCCCTTCAGCCATCAGATTCTTGAACTCAAGCTGCACTTAATTCAGCTTCATGTTACTTTTAAAATTTTAATATTTACACACTTGAGTCCAAATTTTGTACCACAAACAAGCAAAGCTGAGCTGGAATGCCAATAAAAAAAAATCCTTGAAATATCTTCAGACCATCAGTTGCATCCACCAAATATTTTCTGTCTTTGGTTTTTTAAAAAGGTGATGGAAAAATCTGACAGCCATCCATCATTTTGACATTGCACACACCTGAGCATTGGTGCAAACGTGCAGACAGTTTCAACCTTAATTGCATTCTGACTTGTATAGTATCTGATAAAATAGGAAAAATTGCAGATAAAAAGTTCAGTGTATTCAGTTTGAAAATGCCACGATGTGGATTATCTGTTCAACTGAAACGGAATGAAAATGAATTGCAATTAAATGTAGATATCATTTTTAAAATCCATGAGTAAAAACAGATTGACAGGATTTTTTTGGGCACTGTTAGTCAAAATGACAGACAATGGAAAAAGTGTAGGCTGATCTCTACTCCAAACTATGGACATTTTTGCCATGTAACTTCTCCCTACGACTTCAGGGTTGAAATTCTTTGGGAAATCGCCAAAAAAATCCAAGAGTTCTGATGAGGTATGTAAACTCATAAGCAGAACTGTATGTCCTCATATGCCTCACCCCAAAAATATCAGAATGGATAAATTTGAATCTTGACTAGAGGAATATTGGTGATGTTCAATTGGTGCAGATCAGATGTATGTCAGAATTTGTTTCTAACAAAAGGCAATCAGATGATTTGGTAATTAGCTGGGATACTATACTCTCCAGTGTAAACCTGAAGTTCGCAGAACTATTTTACACCAACCTGTTTTACATTTTCTGCTACAGCTTAAAGTTGAATGGGTTCAGATGTTATGAGGTACATGCACTTGTAAAAAAAAATGAAACAAAAACACAACTTTCAGGCACAACAATCCATAAAGATAAGGAGCAGTACAATCGGAGTGTTATTGTATTGTTATGTTTGTGTCTTTATGTCTTCAGGTAACCTGGATTTAACTGGGCCTAAGCAGGTCTTCAAAGCAGAGAACAATCCATGGGTCACTCCCATCGCAGACCAGTTCCAACTTGGTGTTTCCCATGTTTTTGAATATGTTCGTTCAGAGACCTATAAGTAGTAAGTACAAAAATACACATATATTTGTTTTTTGGTTTCTTGCTCTCGCCTGAACTATTTCTAGATTCTTATTGTCCTAACTTGGTCTTGACACACTGTCTGGGCTTTAGGCTAGAAACTATAAATGCCTCTGCAGAGTTTTTTCATTTACATTAAATTCTACAGATAAACAGCAATAAGTTAATGTATAAAAAAACGGATAACAGGGTTGCTAGACCCTTGTTAACACATCTCTTTGTAAATATACTGAAGGCCATATGGTTTAAGTTTCCAGGTGTGAATATTTTATTCTAGACATGTAAGTGTTGAAAGGCAGAGCAGCTCAGAAGGATGCTATTAATTCCTTGTTCCAAGCAGCACAAAAAGCTACAGAAGATTTCAAATTGTTGCCCAGAGGCATTGTGTGGAACTGATCCCTTCATTGTGTGACTGTGGAAGACCAGTCCTTGTTTCAGCTGTGTTTGCTGCCACTTTATGCTTGCATATTTTTCTGAACCTTTCTCCCTTTACATCATGAACAGCATGCAGCAATACTATATTTCATTTAAAGTAGGTCATATGACAGTAGCATAGCAATCATAACTTGGATTGTAATATCCCTTATCAGAGACATGACTTATTTTATTTTCTTTCTAACACATCTGTGCAATTCAAGCCTAAATGAAGCTGATGAATCTGGTTGCCTTCACGTGTCAAGGCTATTGTGCTTTACAAAACTCGATATCTTTATCAATTCAAACTTACATCTAAGCAGGCTGGCCACATTGCTTGAATTAGGATCTGTGTCTGTAAGACCTTCAAACATTTGGATTGTGTATGGATGGGTGGATGTGTGTGGATTTATTACCTGGAGGTGTAAAGTTATTGATGGTGAGAATGGTAGAAAGCCTGCAACGTTTGCTCTTGGACTGTTTCTAGAAGCAGGAAAAATCCAAATGGAAGGACAGAAACATGCAAAAAGTGAATTCAATATAATACTGGACCTTTAAATGTATGGACCACATCCAACTCGCAACTCAGCATATTTGAAAGATCAGCAAATAGTGATTAGACTGATAGATTTTTTTTCCATTCATAGCTGCCTCCTTTCCTGTTTAATGATTCATGACATATTTACTATATGATTCTGGCTTCAAACTTTCTTGCAGAGAGAGAACATAGCATTAAAAGGATAATTTAATATTGTGCTCAAGTAATGTTTTATATCACAATTAAGTAACCGTTACCTTCGGTTATAAAAATGCTGTAAATATAACTTGAAAGAAATTTACAAACACACCTTACATGGCAACTGGATCTACTGGTAGATTTTAGATTCCACCTTCTGCTCAATTTTTTAAATCTCACTATCAATTCACATAAACTCACATGAGATAATAAATACCTTTTTCTGTAATGTTATCTTTCATTAGTAAATAATTGTCCAACTAAATTAGATGAGACCAATTTGATAAATTTGAAACAGAATGTCAGAAACCTACATCATACCTGTCAACATCTGCTGAAGGTAATGATGAAGGACCTGTGGAGTCCAGGAACATGACCACCAGAAAAAACTAAATTAACTCAAAACAAGGATGTATTTTAAGTGCAGCTTGAATGTAATTCTTTCTCTGTTTCAGCTGTTTCTCCATGGGACCAATAACTCTTCTCTCAAACATAATCTCTGAAAGCAGCTCCTCTCTCTCATCTCTGTGGCTCTCACAGCACAGGAAGAACTCTGAAATGATTTTACTGTTCACAAAACAATGTAGCAAAGCATCATTTTACATGATGCAGCATTAAACTGCTATAAACAAATAAAAAACAAAAGCATCAAAGACATGAGAAATCATCCCATGCCTGTTCCATCCTATTTGAATTTTAGCCGACAGCCATAATAAAAACATTTAGAACTCATTAAGTCAGTTAATTTTTTAACAATTAGATTAAACATGTTTATCATTTTACTGCCCTAGCCCAAGAAATGGAAAATAAAATGTATCATATCTGTCAGTTGTCCTCTAAAAAACTTTGCTGCTACTTATATGCATGTTTAGTGGAGTAGGTTTCCCTCAGTTGCTGTTGAATACTCGGAGACTACATGACCTGCTTTCTGCTGCAAAAGAGTTGGATCATTTCTTGCATCTTAATTGGTTGTTGGCAGGAGGGGCTTCCACAAGGCAATATTCCTGCAAGAACCACAACAGCCTGCATATTTATACTTCAAGTTTACAAAGTTAAGCTCAGGGATGAATAAAGTGCTAGAGCAGCGTTTCTCAACCTTTTTCGGGCCAGCGACCCCCTAGCCTTTATCCAGGTCCCTCACCACCAGGGGCGCGGTAAAGGGGGAAAAAGTGATGACAATTCTAGGGGTCCTGACCAGCAGGGGGCCCTCCACAATTTAATTATTTGTATTTTGTTCATAGAAATAAAATTTTAAAAAATCAGGATCCTGTCAAATACAAAATTAATCATATTGTATTTTCAAAGATTGTTTTTAACAGTAAAAATTTAATGTTACCCCCTCCCAGACCAAAAAACACACATCCGTTTTTGCCCTGGATCTGCATGAAATGGTTCGTTCCTGCTTGGAGCGCTTCTCGGTGACGTATGCAGTTACAGTCAGTAGAAGCTGCAGCTGAATACAGCGGTGACTGTGGCAGTTACTATGCTGCTAAGAAAAGTTATAAAATCAGGTTTTCAAAAACAAAATAGAGAGGAGAGAGAGAAAAAGGTAAGAGTGTTAATTTATAACCCAGTTTTTCTCCAAGAGAGGTGGGTAGACTGTGAGATTATCAACCATTTAGCATAGTTAGCTTAGCTACAGACTACTGTTTGCCTCCATTTCACTAGCATTTAATGAATTAAGGAAAGAAATTACCAACATATTCATATTTTTAACTTGTCCCTTGTTCCTTTTACCACTTAACAACAGATGAGTCAGTCAGCAGAAGCTCTAACCCACGTCCCTCCTGACATGTCCTCTCCTGAGTGAAATTAAAGCTGCAACTTTTTTTATAAATATTTTTTTTCACATATTTGTTAAAACTGTCATTATGTTGTGACAGTATGGTATGAGAGGTAATCTGTGAAAAATCTATTTACTCTGCCTTCTCCCAGTGCTAGAAACAACCAGTCAGTGGCAGGAGAGTTTTAGTGCTGTCAATCACAATCTCATGTGGTGCTGCTCATCCTGCTGCTCATCCTTCCTCCTCCTCGATTTGTGCCGTGCCGCAACTAGCATAGCACAGAGCTGCGCAGATTCAAACAGTGAATGCTCAGTCTAGTTAGCATAGCTACCAATGATGGCAGATAAATGGTTTAATGATAAGTTGTTTCTCCCTCATTAGCACATTTAGCAGTGAGTGAATGAGGCTAATTGACAGCGCTAAGAGCGTCCTGCTAGTTCTGATTGGTTGTTTTGGTCAGAACGGTTCATTACTATAACCAGTAATAATAATTCAGGAAGGAGATGGAGGAGATTGATTGTTTTCACAGATTATCTGTCTCATGACAAACTGCTACATCATGACAGCTTTAACAAATATGGAGAAAACATATTTTTTTATTAAAGTTACACACTGCAGCTTGAATAAAATGCAACTACATAGCATTTTTGAGAAGTCTGGATTACTTTATGTATACTTTGCACGTTGCTTTTGACTGTTGCTCATGGGGAGACATTTCAGTATCTAAAACTAATAGAAAAAATTAAGCAACCTACTTGCATACTGGATGTGGACTGTTGGATGTTAAATTCATGAGCAGTAAATATTGTGCTAATTATCAGTATTGAACCACAGAAAGCAAGACAGATGCAGGCCTTTAAAATTGTGACGCTTTTTATGGGTCAAATAGACTCAAAAAATTGTAACAGCAGCTGCAGGGGGCCAATCTAATTTTTTGTCAGGGGGCTCAAGATTTCTGGCGGCGCCCCTGATCACCACCCCCCACTTTTGTTTTTCAGTGGAAAAAAAAAAATTCCAGATCCCTTTATTTCCATACAA